TTATTAATTTTAAGAGGCGAAAAATAATACACAAACAAACGGCCTGAATATGAAAGTTTAAGACATTACCTCGTAATTATGAAATTAAGAGGTAAACAAACAGCCCCTAACATTTGCAAAAGAAATTGCTGAAAAACAACTTGAAGAAGTATGTAGTGAAAACCCGTTAGTTCATTTAAAAAATAAAAATAATCAAGAAATAATAATCTTATTAAAATATCCTGATGATGAAGTTAATGTACCAAACAAAATTCCATATAGTATAAAAGATTGTTTCAGAATTTAAACAAGAATGTACTGAATTACTAGAAAAAAGAATCATTCGACCTAGTACGAGTCCTCATTCTGCACCCGCATTTTATGTAGAAAATAATAACGAAATAAAACGAGGTAAGAGAAGAATGGTAATTAATTACAAAAAAATGAATGATGTCACTATTGGAAACTCATATAAATTACCACAGAAAGAATATATTTTGGAAAAATTAAAAGGAAATACAAATTTTAGTACATTTGAAGCAAAATCCAGATATTGGCAATTAAGGTTACATGAAAATACGAAACCACTAACTTCTTTTTCATGTCCTCCTCAGAAGCATTATAAATAGAATGTCCTTCCATTTGGCTTAAAGCAGACACCAGTAACATATCAACAATTCATGGATGAAACCTTAAATGGTTTAGATCATATTTGTCTTGCATACATTGACGGTATAATTGTTTTTACAAAATGAAATGAACAAACACATATCGATACAGTTATCAAAGTTCTACATAGAATCAAAGAAAAAGGTTTAGTTTTATAAATAAAAAAAAATCAAAACTTTTTCAAACTACAGTTGAATATCTTTGTTTAAAAATTGGAGAAAATTATCAACTATCTTTAACAAACAACATATGAGAAAAATTAAATATGTTCCTTGATAAACTTGAAAATAGAAAATGAATACAACGATTTCTTGGTTGTTTAAATTATATTGCAGAACAAGGATTTTTGAAAAATTTAGTAAAAGAAAGAAAAGTTTTACAAAAGAAAATATCAGAAAAGATATCTTGGTCTTGGACCAATACGAATACTATTTTGGTACAGAATATAAAACAAAAAAATCAAGTTCTCCCTACTTCATATAATGCAAAAATCATCGATTTTCTAATTGTAGAAACAGATGCGTCACATGACACTTGGGCAGGATGCCTAAAAGTAATCATACGAGGAAAAGTATTATTGGGATTAGATAATGAGGGAAACCCCATATCTAACTCATCAAATGTACACAATGATACAACACACATTGGTATGAAAATATCATCTGAAGTAAACAATGATAATGTATACAGTGATATGAAAATATCACCAAAAGCATATACTGCTACAGATGTATCATCTGAAGTATTAAAAACAAATAAATATGAGCAAAAATTATGCAAGTATATATCGGGAACATTTTCCCAAACGGAGCAAAATTATAGCACACATGAACAAGAAAACACTAGCATGTCTTAAAATACTGAAAAAATGGAAAGTCGAGCTACATCAAACCAGATTCGAGTTACGCACAAATTCCAAGTATCTTCTTGGCTGTTGGCGATATAAATTACAAGGTGATTATTGTCGTGGACGTTTAATCCGTTGGCAATTACAATTACATCAGTTTCATCCATACCTCAAGTATATCAAAAGCACCAACAATCATATAACATATACATTGACAAGAGAATGAAAGCCATCATAAAACAACGTTGATATGGAAGAAACACCGTTCATGAAAGACTAACGCAAACATCGTTCAAAAATATTTGTCCTTTCGGTGGCGGGAGGAATGACGCAAACAATGACGTAAAAAGCCATTATTATTGAAGACATTATTGAAGACACTTGTCCTTTTTCAATGTGGAAGGGATTATATTATTAATGTAAATATTGTGCCACTAGAATTATTTATATTTTTCGTTGTATAATTATTGTTTGTATTTGTCGGTAGAATATGACATAAAGTAGTGTCGGTAGGATGTAACATAAAGTGTAAGACCCTCCATACTCTAGTGGTCTAAAATGTAAATATATGTTTGTCGTATTGTAATCATACCATTGCAACAATAATTGTTATCGGCTCTTTCGAGCCTATAAATAGGGTCTTTGCCCATAAGAAATAAACAAGAGATCTTTGAGTGTTTAAGACTTGAGTTGAATCTCAAAGTCCTTCCTCTGTTGAAATAGTTGTTCTATTTCTGAATAGCAGAGTCATATCCAAATCTATCCGTATAATCATCCATATAATTTAAACAATCCATCCCGACACATCATTCAGGTATAATCTTATCCTAACTTTCTATTAATTTCGTCATGTCTTTAATTGGATTATATTATTAATGTAAATATTGTGTCGGTAGAATTATTTGTATTTGTCGTTGTATAATTATTGTTTGTATTTGTCGATAGAATATGACATAAAATAAAGTCTAAGACCCTTCATAGTCTAGGGGTCTAAAATGTAAATATATGTTTGTCGTATTGCAATCATATGATTGCAACAATAATTGTAACCGGCTCTTTCGATCCTATAGATAGAGTCTTTGCTCATAAGAAATAAACAAGAGATATTTGAGTGTTTGAGACTTGAGTTGAATCTCAAAGTTCTTCCTCTGTTGAAATAGTTGTTCTATTTCAGAATAGTAGAGCCATATCTAAATCTATCCATATAATTTAAAAAATCCATCCCGATGTATCATTAAGGTATAATCCCATCCTAACTTTTTATTAATTCTTTTCATGTCTTTAATTTTTCCCTTCCCTATGCATCATAAAAGACTGAGCCATTGCTGATCTCAATAACCCCCCTCCCCGTGCAACGCAATAACTAATTAGTGTTAGAAAATGTGCGATATAACACTTTCATCCCTATAGCGCCTACAACTAGGAAACATTCCCTACGTATGGCGAAGACTAATCCATATTTGATCCCAACAAAGATCTTTCGCTACTAGTTCTTTGGCTTGGTCTTTATTGTTTATAATCCTAAATAGAGGTAATTTATGTAATTTAGTTATTTAAAATTTAATTATAGATAAATTTGATCTAATCATGAAAACCCCACGAAGAAAAAATTAAAAAACAAAAAGATCACACCGGCGGTGGAAAACAGTTTTCTACAATTCTTTTGAGCGGTTGATTTTGCAAGTGTCCCACCACCACCATTTTTCCCTGCTTTTGGAAGCATTATCATATTGTACGTAGGAGCTGCTTATGGGTATCATTACTTCTTTATATAATCGGATGATGCATGTGTTAGTGAACCAATGATTTCATCTACATAATCTTAAAATGGTCGTGTGCAAGAAAATTATTCCAATGGTCCAGATGGTGTTCGAATAAGAACAACTAAGATGACAATTCTTAGAAAGTTGATATTGCCCTTAGACCAGCACAACGGTGGTTATGGTGGCACATAGTGTTTTGTTAGATAAGAGAAAGGAAGAGTAAGATGTTATATTTTATTGATGGGTAGGTTAAACTTCATAGATAGTTTCTATGGTATCTAATAGACAATTTTTCCCTCATATATGTCTCACATATATTTAGAATTAACAGATGATGAAGTTGGCCATAATGATCCATTAAAAGTTTTCAAATTATAATGACTATCATTGATATTAAAAATTAGCACGAAGTAAACTTAATATTTTTGGAAACTACATCAACTATTTATAAAAATTATACTTCAAATAATTTGAATAGTTGTTAAATTATTATTTTTGGTGGAATCATGAACGATCTCACAAACTTTTATAGCTCAAGGATCATGATTAATGTAAATTAGTTGGTGGATGTCACTATCCTCGTACAACAAACTATTAATTGCAATTAATGGTGGACCACATGTCCACACCTCACGTCCAAAAATTCATAGTTGGATTGTCACAAAAGTCAAAAAGATTGGCTTGTTATTTCTTTGAATATCAAAGAATGAGCACTACTAGAAACATGGGTTTTAGAGACGGAAGTATCCATCGCTATTCCGTTGCTAAATAGTGTTTGCGATAGATCAGCGACGGATTCACTCCATATGTAATTAATAGGTGGCTAATTTCTCAGCGAGGGTTTTAGCAACGGACAGGTTTTTCCTTGCGACAAATGTAGCGACAGAATATCCGTCGCTAAATGTCACTCAATACATTTACTCAAGGCATTAGCGACAAAATTCGATAAAGCCATTCCGTCACTGTTCTGTCGCAAATTTCCATGATCAGTTTTTTTCCGTAGCAAATCCCTTGCAAAATTCATATACTATTTTTTTTTTTCCGTCGTTGATCTGTCGCAAACTTTAGACATGGTTTTTCCCCATAGCTAATCCCTTGCAAAATTTATACATGATTTTATTTTTGTTCGATCGTTGATCTGTCGCAAACTTTAAACATGATATTTTTCCGTAGCTAATTCCTCGCAAAATTGATGCATTAATATACTTTTTTTATTCTCACCAATCCGTCGTGAACTTCTAATATCATTTTTTTATTATGATTCTAAAAGAAAAAAAATACTACAATCATCAAATTTTTATACTAAAAAACATCAAATAACATACAACCAAACATTACAATACCAAAACTATCAAAGTTTACCAAAGTATCATTCAAAAAACAATTAAAACCAAAACTATCCATATGACATCAAACTCCAAAAGGTTTAACTTCAAAATAACATTTTAGCACCAAAAAATCCAAAGTATGCAAAAGAGGTACAAACAAAAAAAAAGTTTAACCTTCAAAATAAGCATCGGGAAATGAGTTTTCACAAAACATAACTTCAAAATAACATTTTAGCTGCTCTCTTCATTTCATGTCCATCTAATCATCTTTGGTTCTCATTCCTATAAAACATTGTTCAAAACAATCAAAAGTATCAAATACAAAACGTTAACAAGTCATTGAAAAACATCAAACACTAATGGTTAGCATCATATTACCTCTAATTTTCAATTTCCCATCATATTTTACAAGGTTGCATACATCTTCTCCATTGCTTCATATTTTGCATAAATTTGTTGTTGTTTGGCATCTATTACTGCAGCTTTGGCATCCATTTCCTCACGCATTTGTTGATGTTTAACTTCCATTTCGGCACCTTTAGCATCCATTTCCCCACACATCTCGTTTCGTACACGTTCATAGACAACCTAAAGTACAATGATAGAAAACTTTGTAAGTACAATGCTTTATACCTATACAAATGAAAGATATGCAATTGTTTGAAAGAATTTTCTTGTCTCACATGAAAGATACGCAAGATCACCGGAATTCAACCGAATACCCCTTGCTTTATACCTATACAAAAGAACACATCAATTAACATATCAATTATTATTATCACTTAACCTTTTGTATCATAAAATACAAAAAGAGAAAAATACCCCAGATCATTTAGTGCTAGAGCCACTGCACAGAAGTTAGGAACACCACTCTTCATTACCTAGAAAAAGACAATAAATAATACCCCATATTATAATAATTAGTAATGTAAGCAAAAAATAACAAAAATAAGAAATAATAATAATAACTTACATCATATGTGTCTACAAGAGCTAGAAAGTTATCAGGAAAGGCTAAAGCATATGAAATAAAACCAACTAATTCACACTGATTAGTCTCACCAAAAACACCCTTTAATATACTTAGCCTCTAAAACAAATAAAAAAAATAGTTATTAAAAATATAACATATAATTATATAAATAATGAAAAATGAAAAATGAAAAATTCTTACCTTTATTTTGCTTAACCATGTTTGAGAAGCACAAACAAAATCCTCACATACTTGAGATCTATCACGACTTTTTAGAGACTTATCTATAATCTCATCAGTTTCCTACATCAAAAAATAATAGTTTAAAAAAAATTGTAATAAGAACTTTTTCACTGAATAAAAAATGTTTATTTATATTTTATAATTTTATAATACTAACCATTAATATTAACAAGTGTTTTGTAATATTAATATCAGGGTATTCCGCCTCTTGATGTTAGAATAAAATGGCCAAATGATCTTTACTTAAATGGGCTTAAAGTGGGAGGAAATTTTGTGTGGATCAACATATCAATCCAAGATATTCAATATTAGTGTTGGTAATTGATTAACTTTTAGCTTTTAGAATGAAATTTCAATTTTTAAAAAAAATATTTGTTATAATTTTCCAATTGCAGGAGTAGGATTGAATATTGACAATGATAAGACAACAACATCCTTGCATTCAGAGCTCCAAAAATTAAATTCTGATTACAAACTACAAAGAGAAGACATTACATTACATCAACTGTCTTTGATAAATTCGAGCATTTCTTCCATATTTTGATCCACGAGGGTGAGTATTAATTTGTTTTTTATATTTTAAAAAACATAATTCATGTTTATTTATTTATTTAAAATGCAGGATTCCAACCCCTTAAGGAGCTATATTACAAGACATGGCTCCATAGGTATATTAGTTCTTGTTCTTGTTAAAAAGGGTAAAAAAGTAATTTCCCTTATTATGGTTTTAATTTGTGCAGTGGACAGAGGGTTATTATTCAAGAAAAAAACCAGAAACATGATTTGCCGATAGAAAATGTAGTCACTGTTCAGGTGAGCAAATCACGAATTGTTAAGTGACATTTTTTTTTATTAAAAATAGTGTTATAAAATATATCAATAAACATACTTCGAGTCTTTATAATATGAGTTGTTAATTGCAGGGGTTACCATCTTCAGGATATTTATTGGCCAATGTTGATAATGGTGAAAGATGTGAGCTTCATCCAGATGGAAATAGGTATCAGAATTGTTACTTTTTTAACTCTAAATTTACTTTTAATAAGAATTTTTACTTTTGAAATATATGAAACTGATAATAACTAAAAAGATTCATGAGGTATATACAGTTTTGATTTCTTCAAAGGACTAGTGAGGGGTAAGCTTGCCTGAGAAACAAACATCTTTTATTTATTTATTTATTTATTTTTTATTTTTTTTTTACTTTTATTTTAAAAGATTAATATATTAGCATACAATAAGAGTGATTAGTGGATGCTACACATAGTTATATCTTTAGATTGACATTGAAGACAAAAATATTGTATGTGTGTGTTGTGTAAATAGTGTTTATGAATTAATTTGCATGTTCTGATATATGGTGTAAAGTATGAAGATTTTTATGGTAATCTTTATTTTCTTGGTATTTCATAATGTACAAAATTTAGGGTAAATTCATCATTTTACCAATCCAAAACAATATGAAACCAGGGGCAAACAAAGCATAGCATAGATCACTTCAAGGTTCTTCAATAAAAGAAAGGCAAACAAGGGGCAAAATGGTCATAAAAGCGAAAAGCAAACCAGGGGCAAACAAAATGAACATGAAAAGAGGCATTGTAAAGAAAAGAAAATTGACATAAATTGAATTTCCTACAAGCAGAGGAGTATATGTGAACATATGTTTCATGACAAAATCTATAACCTACACATCATATCAGGTGTTTATTAAACAATACAAAAAATGGTTATATTTTTTTTTACCAAAAGTCTCATATATAGCTAAACAATTTGCAACTATTATAAATTAATAATGTTGATTTATAATTTACATGATTCCCTCTTATGTAAAATATAGTTGTTTTCTATGATAATAGATTTCATAAAAAGTAACTAAGGACAAGAGTTAGATTACCTGCTGTTCAACTTGTTTTTTACTGATGGAACTTTGGATCACCTTTTCAGTCAAACCTATAAACAACCATGACATGGCTTAAAACTAAATTCTATTAAAACGTAACATTTTATATTAAAATTATACTTAATTAAAGCAATGGGAATGGCTTTGTTTTAAAAGTGCACGTTTAGTGTGCACTTTTAGGTCTCTAGTTTCTACCCAGTAAATAAAAGATCAAAGTTTACTTGGCATCACATTTGGTTATTATATTATAATAATAATAAGTTCACAATATACCTTTGCATAGAGCTCAACATAAGGGCGGAATGCAGGATCATCCAGCAATGCGATGTCTGTAGGAAGTTTCAAAAATCCCTCTGATTCACCTGTCAGAAGCTCCTCGGTCCCACAGAATTAGGGCAATTATGGAGATGTTAAAAAAACTAATTATTTTATTACAGATACAGAAAGGAAATGAAGTTTTATAGAAAATATGAGTTATCAAATTACATAAATGAAGCATGCATACACACAGACACACGTGAATTAAACAAGGTTAATTAACCAAATAATGTAAATTTACATTATTGTATATATGAGTGATTAATGACCTAAGTTTTTTCATAGGCTTGTTGAAGAGGATAATGCTGAGGAGCTCTCTGTGAATGGCATGACACTGAAGCCGAAGAGAAGCCGAAAAGAAGGAAGAACAAGGCTAAGAGAGTTAAGGACAAGAAGGTTGATTGCAACATTGGTTTGGTAAGAGAGTTAATGTTTTTTTTTGGAAGGAATGGAATCTGTCTAATATTGAAGGAATTGGAATTGGAATTGGAATTGAAAATTTTCTTGTGAAATTGTAGGGTTAAAAGGGTATTTTAGTATGTGTTTAATGAGAGAAATGTTGGAGTTTGTCACAAATAGGTTAGAGATGGCAAAGCTTTTATCCACAAAAGTTGCACAACAACAAATTATAAGCCTGCACTCCGATTGAAGATGTAAGCTCCACTTATAATCATAAACAACTTAACAAGTAGTATCTGTAACATTTTGTAACATTTTATTATGTTTATTGTCTACATTTCTCCTCTATTCAGCTTGTTCAATCTCTACAACCTGTTAAAGAACCCTTACAGTCAATTCTATGTATACATGAATGCCCTTAAATTGGCAATGAATGGAAAGGTCATAGAACATATCATACCATCTTTTAAAAAGATAGACAGTTTCTTAAAAGAATGGAATCTTGGAGTTCATGATCAAAGAGGGATTTTCTTGACAATCTCTAATATCTTAAAGAAACACAAAAGGTACTCAATATATTTCCCATTTCAATTTCTAAGGGGAAATTAGAACAAGCATCAAATCATATTAGAATTTGCAAGTAGGATGCATACTTCTTTCAGGTTTGACTCAAACTCATTTTGACATGTTATTCAACCCATACAAGGTTATACATACTCATTATCCTTTCAGGTTTATGGTTAAAATATGAAACATTGTACAAGAAAGCGGATACATAAATTTTTATTTCCAAAAACCTGCGAACTTGCCTTTTACTGTTCCTTCACCTTCAACTCTTGGAGCTTCTCCTTTACCAGGGGAGTTAATGGGTGGTGTTGGTGTGTCATCTTTGAGTTAATGTGTCTGTGTATGTGTTTATGTGTCTGTGTATATCTCTCAGTGTAAGAGTAGAAGGCTTTTTATGGTCATACCAAAGTGCATTAATTTCCTTGAATTTCATATGTTGTATATTCAGAGAGGAACACAACTTGAAAGACTCCAATGGCTATCAGAGTAATAATGCCCCTGCCTATGCTCATAATGTCCATGTTTCTCTTCTGCCTCTTTTCCTATTTACCTCTTATTCACTCAAACATTTCACACTAACTAGCATTGAGATTGGAGCTTGCAATATTATGCCCAAAACACCTTGGGATTTTCCAGCTTTAACAACTTTGCATATCAGGGGAATTGTATTGTGTGGAGGAATGACGATTGAAAAAGGAAAAAAAATGGATAAATTAAACCCTAACATAATATATTGTGCAACTAAATCAAACCTAACCTAATATATGACTAAACCAAATAAAATCAAGAGATTTGCCTGAATTGGAAGTTAACGAAGAATAATTTCAGATTTTAAAATTGTGGAGGCTGTCAGAACCGCAAGCTGCAATGGTTCGTTCTTGTCGTCATCTGTTTGAACAGAGAGGGTGAGATTAGGTTAAGCAAGCTGCAGCTCGAGAGTGTCTTCAATTTCAGATTTGGGTGAGAGCGTGTTCAATTGGAGTGACAAATCTGATTTGGCACGGAAGAAAACTTACACTAACTTTGGAATTGGAGCGTTAATTTCAGCGAGAGATCGTCAATGTTAAAAACATAACGTGCATATTCTCTGTCGGTTTTCTCTCGCTAAACACGTACCAGATGGCCAAAAAGTCGATCTTTTTTTCCCTCGTTGAACCCTCGCCAAATGCCTTCGTTTTCCATCAATTACCGAGAGATAAGAGTCCGTCGATAAATACTTGTGACATCTGTAGTTGATCCCTCGCTAAACACTCTCTAATATGCTAAATCTTGAATAAATAAAAAAAATTGTTTAAACCATCGCAGATCTCTCGTAATTCCCTCTCTATAGGCCTAAATTTTGCTATAGATTTAATCCCTCTCTAAATCCGTAGCTGAAACTCAAGTTTCTAGTAGTGGAGATTGCCTTTTTATTTTTATTTTTATTTTTTTATTGATTTCATTACGTCAAGATATATCAATATCTATAAAAGTGTGATACAACAAGAAAACAATCGTAACAAAAAAATGATTTTAGAGGTTCTTGGGTACCAACTTTGAGGTGGTTTCATTTGTGAACAACTTTTTGTTTGCTAGCACGACCAATGATCAGATTTCAAAGTAGTTTAGGCCTTCAATGAGTATATATATATATAATATATATATATATATATATATATATATATATATATATATATATATATATATATATATATATATATATATATATATTCAGGTTCATTTGAGACCATTCTAATTTTATGAGATCGTGAGACCAAATTTAAAAATAATTTTAAAATGCAAAATAAATGGAAAAATCTAAAAATTCTTTTTTTTTTTAAATTATTTTCGGAACTTGAATTAACTAAAAAAAAAATTAAACAAAATCCCGTTTTTTTTTTTTTTTTTTTTAAATACGTGAAATATTCTAAATAGAATATTACACTGACATATTCTAAAAAATAATTTTAAAATGCAAAATAAATGGAAAAATCTAAAAATTCTTTTTTTAAATATTATTTTCGGAACTTGAATTAACTAAAAAAAATAAAAAAAAATCCTATTTTTTTTTTTTAAAAATACGTGAAATATTCTAAATAGAATATTATACTGTGCATATTCTAAAAATAATTTTAAATTGCAAAATAAATGGAAAAATCAAAAAATTATTTTTTTAAATATTATTTTCGGAATTTGAATTAACTAAAAAAATTTTAAAAAAAGAAAAATTAAATAAAAAATAAAAAAATGCATCTCACGGTCTCACAAAATTAAGTCGACTCACATGAACCTAACCCTATATATATATATATATATATATATATATATATATATATATATATATATATATATATATATATATATATATATATATATATATATATAAATGGTCCCATGGTTTATCACATGTCACAACTTTAGTCCTGTTATTTATTTTTTATTTTTTTACGAACATGATCCTGGTGGTTTATAAATCTTGCATCTCCATGATTTCATTTTATTTATGCTAGGTTTTAGGTGGGGGAGGGGGGAAAATTACATAACTACGAAAGTGTATGGAGCAAACCTATGAATATACAAAACTCATATGACAAAAGTTTGAAAATTAAATAGCGTAGGGATTGGGGGGAGGGGGTGCTAATATGAAAATTTTGTATTATGTATGATCTATGTTTTTAACTTTTTTAACATATAATCGTCTCTGTAAAAAAATACACATTGACATTTTCTATAATATATGGGGATAATTTTGTAATTTTTTTTCTACATAGGGCAAACCTAACTACATACAAAAAATTAAAAATAGACACTGTTTTTATAAGAAAACAAACCTCATGTTAGTTACAAAATTATAGGGACTAAATCTAGAACTATGTAAAAACCTTGTGGCAAATCTTCAAAATAAAAATTAGTGCCAAAATCCAAAACTTCAAAAATCTATTGCCAACTACCTTTTATTATGTAGAGTAATTTAATCTAAAACTACTATCATATTTTTTTCAATTTCAATTCTTATTTTCTTCTATATAGTTTTATTAAACGAAAATAGACACCCACCTTACCATCTTCTTCATTCCGATATCTCATTATCTAATAAACCCCAACCCACCACATCATACCACATCTACTTCTTCCACCATCGAACTTTTTATCGGCTTTACATCCATACACTATTCTTCATCTATATATATCGAAATTGAAATCAATCTTTAGTCCATATCAAGTTTATTAACATGGCCCATTAATCTCCTTTCCAGCCTCCCTTAGTTGTAGGTTGATAAGTAGCCTGCATATTAGATGTGGTGCATATCCGATTGTGTTTCCTACCACCAGAAAGAAAAAAGTCGATGATTTTGATGACCCAAAATCCAATGCTCCTAAAGTCATTTGCAATGGTCAAGTTAGGGTTAAGAGGAAAAGATGAATTTTATGAGTTGGATATCGTAAATGATAGTATTGAGGGGAAAAATATAAAGCAATGGTGAGCATTTAAAATGGAGCAAATTTAATGCTAGAGTGATAACTATTGTTGTATGAGAACTTGGTAAGTGGTAAGTGGGTATCCCAAGCTTTACTGAAGTCTATTGTCACACCCCCAAACCGGAACAACGGAAGCCTTCGGGGGCGGATGACTTCATGTGGTAACGTAACAAATGAATACATAGTAAAGAAAGCAATACAACCATCATATATATAATTGAAAGTTCACATTGTTTAAAAGAGTACATGTTCAAAACCAATTATAATATGATGCCAAAAATATAAATTTAAACTGGTGACGCAGCGTTCCTTCTACAAGAAGCTGTTTGGTACCTACAATTACTGAGTCCCTGGGACATACAAATACTTTTGAAAGAGTAGACCATCATTTAAGCTGGTGAGTTTCATAAGTATTTAAATGATAGTATTTGTATGAACAAAAATGAAATGGTTTGTTTTTGTTTGTTAATTTCTAGAAAATCCCATATTTCCTACTAGTATAAAGGTAGCCTTAAATCAAAACCAATGTTTGTTAGAAAGTTGATGTTTTCCTATCTGTGAGTAGTGGTTTAGAAGTTCCAAACTTGTATGACAATTAGGTGTTTCATGCCTAAATTAGTTAAGTTATGTACGTATAAAACCTTCAATACGTCTGAAAAACCCCATAAGTCAATGTGTTTTTAATACTCTATGTGAGTTTTATAACCATGCTATTGACTAGAAATGCCTATACACAACGTTCTTCAGGCGTTGGAATGTTCTGATGTTTGTCACCCCAAATGGTGTACTGTAGCTAACAATCAGGGTGTGGGGTTGTCAATCCCGTATAGATTTATACACAAACACCATGCTCCCCCTCCAAGGGATTAGGGTATATAATACAGGACTTGAAATATGTACTCGAGCGTACGTGAAGTTTAATGTCTCACAAAACTTAGTATAAAACAGATTTACGTGTGAAAATGTTCGTTTGTTCTTGTATATGAAAGTAACTTCTTGAAATAATATTTCTAGTATGTAAAAGTTCATAGTGTTCTCGTAAAACTATACCTATTATAGTTTCCTAAAAGTGCGTTTCGTTTGTATAAAAATCCCTAGTGAAAATGCTCACTTGTTATGAAAAGTATAATTTTTGTAGTGCCAAAACTGGACACATATACCTGTAGCATAAACAGAGTGTTTGATTTACATAAATACATAAATCATTTCTTATTTCAAAAGAAAAGATGTTATCGTGGTATAATTTTCATAAGAAAGTTTCCCTATAATGGTTATAAATAACATATGATTCTATTTATAAAAAACGTATAATGAAACTTTATTATATAACACACGATAATAATCGATTGTTTTACTTGTATTCCCCCCTTAAAATCATATAAAAGTATTTATAAAACATTTAAAAGTATGGATTATAGAGGTATGAACTCACTTGAAAGATTGAAGAAGGTGAGATGAAAACCGAACAAAATTTCGACTCAAGAAAGCGGATTTTCTCGGGATTCTCGGGAATCTCGGAAGCACAAACGACCTTCGGGACTTGAGCAAGTTAACCGGGACTTTGGGATAGCACGTGCACGGAAAATGAGGCAAAAACGCAAGAAAGATGAGAGGAAATGGCTCTTCTCTTCGTAACCCTCACATCCCTTTTATAGGGGGTGGGAACCGCCTCGGTACGCGGGGCGTACGCGAGCTGGGCGTACTCGTGCATCATGCATGAGCGCATCCTCGACTGCTTCGGACTCTGGATGGGAGGGGACATAGGCTCGCATAGGGCGCGACGTGGACGATCCGTGGCCTAGGCCTTGAGTGCACTGGGCGTACTCGTGCGTGACTCACTCTTCGGATAATACCGAAATTATATTAAATTTTACCAGAGCAGAGAGAGACCGAGCGGTCTGGTTGTTTCGGTTCCTTTATTTTACCAGAGCAGAGAGAGACCGAGCGGTCTGGTTGTTTTGGTTCCTTTATTTTACCAGAGTAGAGAGAGACCGAGCGGTCTGGTTGTTTCGGTTCCTTTATTTTACCAGAGCAAAGAGAGACCGAGCGGTCTGGTTGTTTCGGTTCCTTTATTTTACCAGAGCAGAGAGCAACAGAGCGGTCTGTTTCGTTCGGTTCCTGATTCTTAAATAGAGATTTGAGGATTTGGGACCGACTCTGCAACCATCATACCCAAGCCTTGTAGAATTTTATTAAAGGTCGTTTCAGGAAGAGCTTTGGTGAAGACATCGGCCAGTTGATCAGTGGTTCTTACGAAGTGAACTTCGATGTTTCCATCTTCCACGTGATCTTTGATGAAGTG